TGCGAGCTGATACTTCATTTGTGATGCGTCCACCGGGTGAGATGTAGCTGCCTAAATAACAAAACTTATCCACCTGCTCTATCTTTGCGGAATATAGCACACACTCTATTCCGCAATGATAGGCTTTGGTGGAGCCAAAGATGTCTTAGACTAGCACATGGAGCCTTCCATATGTATTCGGACACTTTACGTGAAACTCGGTCACAGACACAAATGCCGTGTCACGAGCAGCCACTGTCTTTTTTCTTTAGTGCCTTCCTAAAGAAAGAGGGTTAAATCAAAAAAAAAATCCGGCAAGAGATTTGTGCAGTTTAGAGGTGCAAAACACATGCCGAAGATACATGCGTGAACTCACAAACCATCTAGGAAAGCGTGCAACTTGGGATAAAATGTTTTTACTTCATTTTTTTGTTTATTAAGTATAGAAATTTACAATAGACTTTCATGAATGGGACGGCGGTTGTCTTGGGGGATACAGAAACTGGGCGGCGGCGGTGGTGGGATTCGAATTCAGGACCTCCATGTGGCCATTTGACAACTTTGCCACTCGACTATCGTCAAACGTGAGTCTACTCAATGTCATCTGCCTACTTCAGGACAGACAATCCACCGTCTGGGAACACAACGACCTCTAAAATGTCATTCATTGTGAAGTCACAAAACAGACAGAGAACAACCGTGAAGAACACCGCTTTCCATGGTGTATAGAGGCGCGAAATAGTTCTAAGTTTGGATGCAGCTTCCACCATTTTTATATAGTGAATACGGGGTGAAACAAACTTCACTGTCGCGACCCTCAGTGAGAGACGGTGTGAGAGTGTGGTGCGGTCGGTTGAGTGAGAGGCTCAGGTTAGATCAACGACGATAGAAATAGTACGTATGCGGGAAAGAGAGCCTGCGTTGGAAAATGCGATCGATGGTTGATGCAGACTCCATCATGTCTGAAATTAGCCTGATTCTCAAGCAAGAATAGTTCGCATGCGGGTGGACAATAGATAACGAAAGCAGCGAGGGAATTTGAGACGATGTGGGGTTTGTATATGACCTACCCCGTTTCTTGATACCATCCATCTGAAACGCTTTCACTTCCATAGAAAACGAAAGAACTTCATGAACAAGACTACATCATCATATTTGAAAATGAACAGGGATACTGTATTAGATCCAGAAACTTAATACTTAATGTAGTGATTTATCTTTTGGGTTTTTCCCTTTCCAAACGAAGGACTGATATCCACTGGTAGTAATAAAGTACACCAGAGGTGGATTTGAAGGTCAGCTGAACCGGATAGAGGTAATTTGTTTGGTACACAGTCNTCCGGATTCAGAAATATAATATAAATAATATCCTACTGAAGCATCTAGGAGTTCAGTAGTCTGATTGCTAATGCTTATATTGTCACCTGCTTCAGTTGCATTTTGGCTATGAGTTCCGGTAGGATCGTGTACATGAAACAGCTTGATCTTTGATTTACTTGTGAATGAATGTTCTGGCTCTGATAAACTAAGGAACCACACTAGAAAACATTCGAGCACAAGTATATAGAAAACAGTTGGCTGGGACGAACGTACTTCTCGTATATCTGTAAATGGCATGGCATCGCACCGATAAATCCAACCAATTTGTTACTCTTATTCACTCGAAGTCCCACGTGCCAGTCTGGATGCCAACCAGGAGGTTGTAGTGCCCTGTATTCGCGCCGATCCGGATGTGATCGGGCAGAAATGCGGGGACATGTGGAGGGGAAATGAGAAGACCAGAACAACCAGTCAGTTGAATGAGACAGACAATTTTCGAAACAAGGTTACATGGATACCATCAGACATTAATGATTATTCCACCTCATTTGTATTGAACACAAATGTATAATTTAAGTTCAGGGAAGGGTGGAGGCTGCAGTCGTCCAGGCGTTGTCCATAGAAAGTGGTGACGGGAGAGATTGGAGATCACGACATTTGTGTTATTGCAATGGTGGCCTTAACTGCTCGGTCATAGCAAGAGAATCGGATTCGTAATTGACTCAAATTCTCCCCCAACCACAGCCGTTTCACTATGTCGTGACTTTTTAATTTGGATAGTTTTAATTCGTATTAACTATTTTTCATTATATCACAGAGTAATATCGTTTGCAGCCCCTCTTCCCGCGAGTTTTGGACTGTCCCTGCTACCACGTGTACGGTCATCGCCACTTTTGAAAATCTATAGACGAAAATGAAAAGCCAAAATACAATACCTAATCATATTGTTTATAATTTTGACGGCAACATGTGTGTGTGTGTGGGGGGGGGAAACAGAATTCTCACTATGACAAAAGAAGCCACTTCAGGATTTCGAATCATGTTTGTGTCGATATTCTCCCACTACCTAATCAACAATGCCTCGAATCCATGTTTTTTTCGTGTAAAATCTTGAGTGTTGGCGCACATTTCAGGTAAGAATCGTCGGTTCGAATCTGGGCTGCACACAAGCCACACCATTGTTTTGATACCGCAAATTATTAATCAGCATTGTGTTAGATACAAATAATGAACTACGGCTGTAAAGTGACTTCGGGTGCAAGAGTCTCAGCTCGCAATAAAACTCTTTCTGTTTGTCAAGTTGTTAGACCTATGCCCCTTCTCATTTTCTTGTTGTTCATCCAAGGCATCGTTTCAAGTGTTCATTTTCCTGTTCGCACTCAAACGCTCAATTCGGGCACCTCCGAGGTTGAGGCCATACTTAAACTACACCTTTCTCATGTCAAGTTGTCACAGTATCATATCATGTTGACCGGGAATCATTTCAAACTGTCCCCGGATTATCTCAAGCTCACATTGACCTCACCGGTGCTAAGATGCCTCCCAGCGCGTTCTGGATGACTACCACGCAACTCCGATTTCTCTACCTCCCGTTAAAGTGCGGGGGTCAGTTGTGGGATGGGCTTCGGTCAGCCACGTCTCAATTCCCATGACATACATATCGATCGTTTATCGCGCTGGTACGTGTACGCCTCTGTATGTGTATTGTGTGTTTGTCCCCCTCCGCTGATACCAGTGAATCATGCGCGATCAACGCTTGAGCCAATACAGTGCGATTGCTCCATCGTCTCGTCCCTCTCATCCGTGACCTTCAACAAGTACATTTCTTCTTATCCTTTCGCTAGGAGGCTCGATCGTGTAGATGGGCCTGACCGCTTCACTCATTCTGACGCGATTTTCGGATCCGACCAAATGAGGCGTGATCAC